AAACAATTGAAACCAAATCAGCTATGTTTATTCATTTCTGCTTGACTCTTTATTAAGTCGTGACCGGTAAGTAGGAAATAGATTCTACCTATATTCTATAATTCATTACTTAACAGTTAAAAAACGATTATTCTTCATGTACGTGTATGTGTTTTACTACTAACTTACCTGCTTTGTATTAGGATTCGTAGGTTTTCTTCAATTTTATGTATATCTAATACTTTAATAAAAGGTAGTTATATACATGAATAACTTTAGACATTTCATTAATTTCCCAAGAATAACTCTACATAATAATAAGCTTGAAATTCTTGAACAATGTTTTCTTTTATTCACAAGTTGTTTGTCAACACTGCGTAAATTTTTTTGCGAAATTGCTACAATTCGTGACTGGCGTACATAGTCAGTTTGTCACTGCCATTACCATGATCGATTTTTATTCGCTTTAATATAAATATTATTATTCAATTTCATTTTGCTCTTGTATTTGCGATTGTGAATGACGAAATTAAATTACGGAATGCCGGAATTCACGATTAGATTTGATTTTATATAATTGTATTTCGCAAACATTTTTGTCAAGTGCTCAATTGTTAAACGTAATCTAATATAGGTGTGTATTTAATCTTGCAATTAATATTTTCATAGGTATTGTAGATGTTATAAACGTGAATGTAACTTTTAGTATGTTGTTGTTTCTAATTACCTATTTTATAGTATCTTTAAGTTTAATTTTGTCAAAATCCGTTGAGCAGAATCAGCCGTTTAAGTTTCAACAACTAAACAGTTGTTGAATGTAACAAACAGTGTGACAGACAGATACACATTTATAATACTAATTATTACACGCGCTTTAGTCTTATTTTGATAATTAAACGATAGTCTATATACTTGTGATACAATTTATCTTCATGTGAAATTTTATAAAATTCATTTAGACGTGGATAGGTAGTCGTTTAGTCAATACTAATACATTGTTTGTTAACAAATAAACAAGACAGACATACAAACACATTTTTGGTTTTATAACATACTTCTGATTTAAAACTATTCCTTTAATTGAAAAAATCAAGAGCAGAAACTCTAATATCAATTAATTATAGCTACCAAAAAAACTTCACGAAGCATATGAATAAAGTAGCAATTTCTGCACCGTTTCACTAAAGGTAATCTGCATGTGGGTATGTAATTACCCATACGTTAGAAGAACAATGGATGTTCTTGAAAGCAAGCGGGGTTGCGATATAATTCTAATAAATCTTGCCAATGATTCCATGAAATAAAACTCGGTTTCTGGCGCATTTTTTATTAATTGGGTAAACGCTTGCGATTTTCTAAATACAATACTTATAGACTAATAGATATAATTATAAAATTTAAGTGTTTATGTTTTTATTAAACACTTAATTATACTATTTAGTTTCATGATAACCTAGCTGTTACCCGCGACTCTGTATATTCTCTTTTACATTCGGAGTAAATAGAAAAGACAGCATAATATTTCCATTCTCATGTTATTTAATATTGTATTCCAGTATTGTTTGATCTTTTTAGTAACGTTGTTCAGGTAATTACGTCTAAGAATTATGAGATTTTGACTGTCAATGCAGACGCTTGAAGTCGTTTTTTTAATTTATTACCATCCATTTTCATGTTTATTATATCAGTATAGAGGTATAAATAGATTGATAGATCTGGATATATATACAAAACAAAGTAGTATACGAAGATCGTTCATTGTCAGAGACGTGCATTCAATAAATCGGATGTTTGATCAATTATAAAAAGCATTAGATATTATATAGTATGAAAAAAAAACTAAGTAAAGAACAGCTTTTTGTAAAGTCGGTTAAAAATCACAGGCAACAAAACGAAATAGCGTCTTCAATTAGTACTGTATTTGTTTTCATTATGGCAGTGGGTGTTAGTATAAATGTACTGGTTATATGAAGCGAAGGTCCATCAGTCATTCGGGCGCAGTGAATGGCGGAATATCCATTAGAGATTTCCTTTTCATTGCTTTCAGCCTGGAGCATTATGACCCTGCCATATTGGATTTCATAGAGGAAATTTCAGAGTTTTTTTTACCTGTTTGCAGCGCATGTGAATGTCTGTTGCTAGTTTCTACATTTTCGCTTGCCGAACAGTTTTTTATCTCATTTTACGATACTACGCTATATATTATTATAGAGCTTCAACGCCGTGAATTGAAAGGAAAAACATTCCGTATAAATATAAGTCTTCCGTATTATATACCAAATTTGGAAACAACTGTAAATTCCCATTAAATTTTATGTCATTGTAGAATTTTACCAGATATTTTCAGTTAATTGATTAAATCAGGTCAATTAATTAAAGTTGCATTTTAACAGTGTTATATTAAATCTAGTAATTTTAAGCACAATTAACTTAAGACATTTTACATGACATCTTAACACAGGAACAGATAAGCAGAAAAAAAAATCTAAAACCATCCTACCCGTGCAGACGTATTGGTTTACAATAAACATTATAATGTTAGTATACATTTATTTATATTTAAAAAAAATGTATATTAAATACTATTAATATACATTTTTTAAGTATGTAAATAACATGAATACATACGGAAATTAGTTCAAAAAATATTGAAATTATTATAAAATAGCTACTCCCCCCGGCTCCACCCGGGTGTACAAGTGTTGTTTACATTGATTACCTTGTTCTAGAAGCACTCTATCTATTAAAAATAACCGCTTCAAACGCAGTTTTCCAGATTTAAGCATACATAGGGACGGACAGACAGCAACAACGACTTTGTTTTATACTAAGTAATGATTACAATATAACCCTACATAGCGCCCTAGTTCCAAGCTAAGCAGAGCTTGTATTATGGGAACGAGACAACTGATAAAAATGTAATACTTAAATACAGTTTGTTTGGTACACCAGACCAATACAAACAATTATATTTATAAATACAAATATTTGTATCGTGCAAGGATCGAATTCGTGACCATGATAAGTAATGCGGTGTGCAACCACTAGACCTTGGATGTTTAAATTTGAGATTGATTTGAGTATTTTGTCACTACTAAACATAAACATTGGATGTACAGAGTTATAATAAATAAACTTGGTAAGGTCATAGTATTACTACTAAGTAATAAATAAGACAAGTACCACATTCCAACCAAAAAACTTCGCCATGAACTGAGCCAAACTAATTAAACTTCTGTGTTAGTTGACGATAACATGCGGTGTTCATCAAAGAAAAGACAAACTTAATCCTAACGGTTAGTAGAACTTATCTATGAGGGGATGGGGATTGTTATATATATTATATGGGCTAATGACTCCATCGCTAGCCATGCCAGGCAGGTTGACCTCCACGCGATTCATCGTGGAAACCATAATATGACGATGGAGTAACTACCCTGATCGTAGGTGCTCAACCTGTCATCCTCCACTGATGCCCCGTCATGGGATAAGGTTAGGAGGCGTCAAGTTAGGAGCACCATGCATTATCATACATTAAAAATATAAAAACTTGTTTATGATCTAATTAAATGTAACCATTAAAATAGTTTTGAAAGTAATGAAACTATCATGCTATAAATATACAGAACAGTTTTTTTTTGTTTATTTTGCATTATAAGTTATATTTATTTAGAATTTGTTACCTATTACCTATAGATAAAAGGAATGATATCATGATAATATGGAGTACATTAATTTCGAAGATTTGTTTGTCTGTTTGTATGTTTATTATTTTTTACAGTCTGTTGTTTCAGGAGTAAACGGCTGAACGGATCTTAACGTAAAACATGAAGATAGATGGTATCACGAGGTCGGACATGTGCTAACATTCATAAAAACCAGACGAAGTAACAACAATTAGATAATATATTTTAAAAATACAAAATGATTTTTTTTCTTATGCTTCGCGTATTGAAACAATAAACAATTACTTGACAATGATTGATGCATTTGTGTATTCAGTTGATATGCACATGAGCGGCATTGCGTCAGAGAATTAGCGTATCCAAACGTCTTTTATTTCATGGGACGTCTTATATTTCTTACATAAAATTTAATAATCCGTCAGGATACGCACTGTCCTATATTTATATCGATGATGACCGGTGGTACACGACGTGTGTGTGAGAATTTAGAAAGTAGTAAGTAATAGATCTAAACAAATAGCTAAACACAAAAAAAAAATCAGTTAAGTCCATTTGTCGAGGCACGTAATAGGGAAATCGCGTATCTTGTAAGGTTCTTGCCGTTCATGCCTTGTTTGTCCTTATAAGCTAAAGAAAAGGTTGGCAACCCTACAAAGAATCCACATTTGCAAAATGAAATAACGCAAGGATCACACACCAAGATTATATAAATATTTTTTCATCCGTATACGACGTTTTCTTAATACCATATAAGTAAAACTATTCTTATAATCTCTATACTAAGATGATTTTACCCGACTAAATTTCACTTATAGATATTTATATATGTATAATTGCTTAGTTAGTGTACTTACTCCTATATTATCTTATCTGTGCTTCTATTAATTAAGTGTAAATATCCCTTTTGGAAGAAGGTGTCCTCCAACTATTAGTTTTTTATAATAAAATATAATGTTTCCCTAAATATTGTAATTCACTATGTATATCTATATATATATATATTATTATTAATACTATAAATACTATTATATTATATATTATTATAAATACTATTATTTAACACAGGTAATAGTTGTAGAAGACAAAAAGTAACAATTTCAATAACACGTTTACTTGCGTAAACAATATTTAACAGATTAAGTTAACATTTAAAGACAATCAAACTTTCGTTCTCTCGATAGATAGAGATTAGTAAGTTCAGGCGGGCCCACCCTATCCTACCTACCACATTTTGTGCTTTGAGCTTCGCACCGAATCAAAGCCGAACCTACCCGAAGTTCCGTCGAATCCACACGAGACAATTGCAACCACCCGCTGGCAGTTCGAAACGAAAGATCGAGGTATAACTACGTCTCGTTCACGCGAACAACGCGGCTTAAAGTTCTGCTCTTCGTCACATTCTTAAGTGAAGTGAAACTTGGATAATATTGAAATTTGTATTACTGTTTTGTGAATTCTAAATAGATACTTTTTGGATTTCATCGCCAGAGATTCACAGACTTTGTTTCCTCTTTGTAAGCCGGTGCACTAATTGATGTTTGCGGAGGTAAGTGAAGTTTATTTTTGTTGACTGCCAGGATCGTTAACTGGTTCTATAGCATTCTTTTCATTTTTGTTAACAATATTAGAAAATATTGTGATAATTTTGACGACACTGTATTATAAAATTCGATATGATTCGATTATTTCCTTTAGAGTATTTAATAACTTCATTCAGTGAGTAACAGTAAGAGAAATTATCTAGAACCGAACAAAATTTTATTCTTGCTGATAGATTATTAGATAGATATGATCTAGATTCTTCAATGTATTTCAAAGTTGACGATAGAAAATTAATCTATTAGTTTTACAACGTGGCGATAACCTAAAGCGTTCAATCCCTTCATCCTTTCATCAGAGAAAACAAAAAATCGACCATTGTGGTTATGTCTATTTGCTTCATCCGCTCGTAAACCAGTTCCCAGATGATAGTTTGTTATTATTTTTTGTCGGAACTGGTATCGAGTACTAACACCAAGATACCAAAGAACTACTGGCTTGCACCGCCGTCATTATGGGAATACATTAACTATTAACATCAGATGAAAAGTAAACGGTGCTTTTTACGGAATGTCCTTTATCTGAATAAGAATATAATTATGGGATACTTTATATATACTTACCATAACCAGATCTACGGATCTGACTACAGCACCAATATATCACAGTTATCTATACCTAGCTATCTCAGCGAAATTTAAGTAAGTATTATAAAAAAATGTGAGATCAGCATTCACTTACTTTTTTAGTTTAGTTTTACATAACTACAAGGTAAAAAATATTGTTTTGATGTAAGTAGTAAGGGGCTAAAATATTTTATTTACATAAGAATAATTGATTGTAAGTAGGTAATTATATATAATATCTACTCAATTTTGACTAATTGTATCATAAAAAGCTGTTCTTCTCTCAATCTCAGGCACATCTCTAGAATGAATTAATTTCTGGCATCAACGTGATCGAGGTCTGAGTTAATTAAAATCTGCTCTCCATCAGCTTTACTTAAGATAACAAAAAACGACACCCTTCAATCTCGATATTTTAAGTGACATTTTCCATAACCTAAGTTTAATCGAGTTTGTATAATCCAAGGTATATTAAAATTTAATTGACTAATCATTAAACTGGTAAGTCATTGAATTGCCTTTGGTGATCGCCGTCGAATACCAACATTTATTTTTGGCGACAATAACACCAAAAATTTATGTTAATAATTGTTATGTAATGATCATAATTATAAGCTAATGTACCTATAAAAATGTCATAGCTTCTTTTGTTAGAGGAAAATTATTCCAAGTTTTTGTTTGCATATTATATAGTATATAGTAAAGATATAAATTTGATATATCTATTTTATTTACAGTAACTATCTATGACTACTGGAATCGTATAATCATTACTTATTACGACAAGCAAGTTTGTTTAACGTAACAGACACTGAACAAACAAATTATCATATCCTGTCGTTTAACTTGAAAGGAGGAGAAATAACAAATCACTTCGTCCTATCTACAGGACTGATAAGGCAGTGCAACGTGTTAGATAACCTAGGGTTACCATCCAACATTAACCGACGGCGGTATGCGAACTGATAAGTAACTTAAAGGAATTTTCTTTTCAAAATGGATATATGTATATATATGAGAAAGAAGAGAAAATGTCTAAAAGTATTAAATACAATTAAGTAATAGGTACTGGTACTAATAATATTCTAGTATCAAAGTCTTTTAGTCTGTCTGTTACCTTTTGTCACGAGGATGGACGTACACGTCTTTTATCTTAAGAAGTAATCTGTAAAGGGTGAACTAAGGAATAAAAGTTTATGCAGACGAAGCCGCGGGTAACAGCTGGTGGTTGTATAAATCAGTAACTCGCAAACGAACGACTACCTTTATAGGTATAAAACACAATAAATCTTGTACGCCATAAAGACTATATACATATACGTACTATATGCTAGCTGACACGCGTAACTTTGTTTGCGTCAGATTTTATCCATTTTTGCAAAATTATTAATTGCAGACCGGTTTCTATTGGTCGTAGCGTAATATTATTATAACCTGTAACATTCCTCGATAAATGAACTATAAGAATTTTCAAAATCGGATCAGTAGGTCCCGAGATTATCTCACAAATTTTACCTCTTTATAATATTAATATGAATGTGTAGAAACACAAACGCTACAAAATATCCCCCAAATAAACCAAGCTTATATCCTGCTATACAGCGCAGCCGACGTTCCCCCATACAAAATTTGCAGACAGAATATAAGTTGCTTTGTCGGGATGTACAATTAAATATAGCCAACAGCAAATTAATTACATGTGCCGCTTCTTAAAATAAGTACAGTGTATAAAATGGCCTGATTTTATACCTTATTTAGATGATATTTAAAATCCATACTGGCATACTAATATTATAAATGCAAAACTGTATCAGTCTGTCTTAAAACATCATAATGAAAATGGACATTAATATTTATATATCACAGGGACAGATATAGGATATCTTAAACAGCAACATGGAAAAAGGCGAAATAGAAGATGAAAATTTGTACAAACGAGTGACAATAGATACAATAACTAGTATGAATCAGTGACTCAGAAACCAATGACTGTCTTTATTAGTACAAATCACAATAAATAATAAATGGCATCAAATCTATGCTATTTCCTTAGTTATTTTTAAATAAACTTGTGAGATAGTAAGTCCTAAATAGACAATAGGTTAAGAAAAAAGATCATAAACTAAATATAATTTTTATTCAGATACCTTGAAGTTGACATCGTGACTATAAAATAACAGTAGATAATAACAAAATATCTCGAATGATTCGAATCGAAAGCATAACTAACAAGCTGTTTGAGTAAAAATAGTATAATCGACCTACAAATTTATTTAAAGCATGTAGACTAAATCAATACTTGAGGTATTTAGAGTAACAGAACAATACTGCGCTCACCTGACTGCGCTTAGGTAGGCAGTGATATAAATAATGCCCTAATTCTAACTCATTTAGAGCTCCATCCAACAATGTAGACCGTAGGTGGAAGTTCTAATTACATTTCAGTATATCAAATGGTTAGATAAAATATTAGAAATTATTAACATCAGATAAAATTACATACACAAATTGTATGTACCAATCTAACATATAGCACGTAGTAATAGAGATATAATATTTAACAGAAATTTAGTGGGTTTCGAATTTTCGCATTTCATTCGATATTTCATACAATAATCTTAATGGACTATGTATTATTCAATATACTTTTTAATTATGTTTTAAAAATGAAAGCGGATTCTCACATCAGTATTTAAGTAACTGTTATATACCTTTATATATAGTATTATACTTTCTGTACTAATATACCCAATAATTATGTTTAACAATCATAATTATATTGGTGTATGAACAACCGAAATATTGATAATATACATACCTACTATATCTATATTATGTAAGATATACAAATATCTAGATAATTCAAGAATATACCGCATTTGCATGAATTTAAATTCCAAACAGTTTAGAACTAAATATTTACGATACTTCATGAGTTTCCGTTCAAGCGGAAATTGAAGTTATCTGACTGCGAACGAAATGCTTCATAGATATTGACATTTGAACTGGTACCAACGTTTCCCTAGATAAGATGTAGAATGAAATTAAAGAAGAATAATGCTCAGAAGAATAATTTAAGCAATTGTTTTACTTATTGTAGGAATAACGTATTCTCCAACATGTTGTGTTATGTAAAATTATAAATGGTTTTACGACCATATGAACAAAAATAAAAATGACTCTGCAAAAGTACAAGTGTTGATATTTATAATAGGTATGAATAAAATATATATATTCACTGCAAAAATAAAAAAAAAAAGCCCGTACGTAGTTGATAAGGATAATATTTTTATTTGACCAACCTTGTGGTTTTGTGAAGTAAAGAATATGACGCCATTTCAATAATGGTCACGAGGATAATAACAGGTATCACAGTATTACCTACATAAAACATACCTGTACGATTCTTACGACATTTGTAAATATAGAAGTAAGACTTACTATACGGTTTTGAAATATATAACTGCATATATTTTTGACGGATTCGGAGGTATAGCGGTTTGGCACATCTCTATATTTATAATGGTTGCAGGTTCTTTCTATTTTTCTCAGGGTTTGTATGTATTTGCAAAAAAAATGCATAACTATTTATATCAAAATTGTTTAGTACACATAACACAAGCTCTGCTTAGCTTAAAACTAGATCTTTAACATCTTGATGAAAATAATGGCACCTCTCCATGCATACTGCATGCTTCAATATAGATACAGATTTTCAATCCTTACTATATCTCGATTTTTTGCAATTTTTTCAAGAATTTACTATTTTTGACGATTTATGGCTTTGTTTTCTAAACTACATAAAGAAACGATAAAATTGTTATCGGGATGACGATTTGTGTCATACTAAAAGCGGTCAAAGTTCTTGAGTGATAGAGTATGTTTCGCTATATCAGAAGTGTCATCGTGAAGCGTATATAGAAGGAGCAGTGAACTTTGCGCAGTGTGGAGCGAAGCTCTTCCCCACACCTGAGGTTCACTCACACAACCATTAACTTCGTAGGTAGGTACATTTATAGTTTCAAGACATCACGTGCTGGTCGCACATTATTCAAGAACTTAATAGGCATGAGAATTTTATTCTGCTGCTTTAAATCGACAGATTTAATTTACGTAATTAGCTGTAAAACTGCTGCTAAGTAAGTTAATTTGCAAATTAAAAATGTAATATTTACATCTTAGTAAGTTGTATATAAACAAGTTGAGATGGTAAAATTTTTTACTGAAGCAATGTAGTGAATTGATTGTTGTTAACAATTGCAATGGTAAACGTATGGTAGGTTCCTGAAATCAACTTATTTGTTGTTGAACAACAAATAACTTGTTTCAGCAACGTATACGAACACATTACATATAATACGATTTCTTAGGAAATAATTTG